CCCTTTTATTCTGAAGTCGCCAAAAGCAAATTAACACGATTCCAAAATCGCCACGTAACCCACCCTCACCGATCGACGTAATTTATCAGTAGCTCATTACGTTGATTCAATCCATCTCCTGTTCTCTTCAACTTCTACGCCTCCCTTCTACACATCGACATATCCACCAATTCCCCCATCTCTTTCGCTAAACGTCCGATTTTACGCACAAAAGGAATCCGACACATCATCCACTAAAAAAAAAAACCTAATTCGTTGTGTAAATATTCATCAAGTCATTTCTGCCAATTGTGGATTGATTGTTAGTCCTTGAATCTTCAAAACAGGTAATATTTCATTCGGTTCTCACTTAAATTACATCACCCCCCCCAAAAAAATCCTAATTTTCACAGTTTGAAATTATCCTCGGTGATCTTGTTGAATGCGGAGCCAAAGAGGAACGCTTCAATCGTTCCATCTGCTGTCACCATGTTTGCTATTGGTACATTATCTTCACAAACCCTAATTTGATTTTGATCTTATCTATTTGTTAGTGTTAACCCAATAGTTGGATTTTGCTACCCGTTCAGGTTTATATTGACAAAATTTGCCCTAAATTATATTCTATTTTTTCATGTGTCACAAGTATCGAATTCATGCTCTGATTTGAGGTTTTTGTTTGAATTAGAATGCAGTTTTTTGTATTTGCATTTTTGGATTCTCAAGTTTGCTCGTCACATATCTGATGAAGCCTTTCTGGTCAAAAACATTGCTAACATGGTCCACCCTTAAGATTATTCTGTAGTTGGTAACTGGGAAAACAAAAAGACATTCCTTACACTGCCTATGTGATTTCCTACCATATATGTACAATACAGAAACTCATAGTAGTGATGTTGGTCATAAGATTTTCTGACTGGTCATTGTCCTGGGTTGTTTTAAGATTTTTTACTACTTGTTGAAGGTTTGGGCTTCTATTTCTTCCATTACATATATATAGAATTTCCTATTAACAATATAATAGAGAGGGGAACGTGACAGTAAACATAGGGTAAAAAAGAAGAATGAAATGAAAAGTAAAGTAAATGAATTCTAACCTCTTACGGTTTGAAGAGAATGAGAATCGGTGGCTGAACAGAAGAATTTATCCAATTTGGAGTGTAATTTTGTAATGAATCAATGTCCATATGAATAGAACTTGATGAACCGGTGGTTTGCATAACAATTGTCTATGAAGCGATGTACCTGTCCATCACGTCGTATTAAAGGTTTATAACCCTAATCCATGAAAAAAACGCACCTTGACACCATAATGCATGGAAATAAGAGGGGCATGATGGGTTATTGGTACAACCTTGCCAATATTGTAGAACGTAAATTATTGGAGAGAGAAGAACATGACGGGTGCAGGGACAGGGGACTCGAGGACGCCTTTCAAGTATATATATATAATATATATATATATATATATATATATATATATATATATATATATATATAGAGGTTCAGTTTCATTTGAGACCATGCTAATTTTGTGAGACCGTGAGACCATATCTAAAAATAATTTTAAAATGCAAAATAAAAGGAAAAATCCGAAAATTCTTTTTTTAATTATTATTTTCGTATTTAATTACCTAAAAATAATAAAAAATAATAAAAAAAAATATTACTGTTTTTTTTTGAAAAATACGTGAAGTATTTTAATAGAATATTACACTGTAAATATTCTAATGTGATTTTTAGAAAGTTAGAATATTCTATTAGATTTGTCACATATGTAAAATATTCTAATATTCTATTAGAATATATAAAAAAAAAAGAGTATTTTCCTTATTTATTTTTTTATTTTTTTTTCGGTATTTTTTTAAATTTTTTTTGGAAAATATAAATGACGAAAATAATATTTGAAATTTTTTTTTTCGTAAATTTTCAATTATTTTGCATTTTAAAAATGTTTTTTTCTATCTACACAATGAGTGGCTATGATTGTGTCTCACGGTCTCACAAAATTAGGTCGTCTTACATAAACCTAACCTTTTATATATATATATATATATATATATATATATATATATATTAAAACTTTGTTCTCTTATGAATAGTAAATTTGTACGTTTTTTTGTCAACTTTGCCCCTCAACTTTAGCCATTTTGACATTTTTGGTCATTACAATCAAATTTTTTTTTCATTTTTTAGGAACATTTTAATATTCAAAGTTTGGTCACAAAACTTTAAGGAATTGAAAACTTAGGTCCATTTTCTAAAAACTTGCTAATTCCAACCCCTTTAATTCTTTAGCCATTTTGACACTTTTGGTCCTTACAGTCAAATTTTACATTTTGACACTTTCGGTCATTGCAATCAAAATTTTTACATTTTTTAGAACCTTTTAATATTTAAAGTTTGGCCACAAAACTTTAAGGAATTGACAACTTTGGTTGTTTTTCTAAAAACTTGCTAATTCCAACCCCTTTAATTATTTAGCCATTTTGACACTTTTGGTCCTTATAGTAAAAAGTTTTATATTTTTTCATAAAAAACGGCACGGGGCTATATATATATATATATATATATATATATATATATATATATATATATATATATATATATTTAGAGCGCGGACAGTTCGTGAGACATATTTCTAAAACAACATATTTCGATCTAATGTCCACACAGTTTTCCCCACTGCTTCCAGAAAAACGATGCATCGATTCCCAATACACTGCATCCTCCATCAACAATGCCCTGCCGTTCTCTCTTTCTCTTTCTCGCCTTCGACCGATTTGGTGTTCTCAACATTCTGAAATCAATCCACGACAAATGCACCTCCATCTTGAAGGGTTCTTAAATGAGTGCATTTGGTCGGGTTCATGTGAATTCATGCAGTTCGATCGATGGGTACTGACGCTTTTGTAATGGCACCATATTCCTTTAAAGTTCACTAGCCACTGCTTCATGTTGGATTCTCCTAACCCCAATTCTTTGTCTATGACCGGTTGGTAATTCATTCATCTCTGTCCTTCTGCATCAACAATTGGCTGCGTGAGAACCCTATTGTTCGTCAACAACAATTAACAACTTTCCGTTATGATAAAAGGTGGTATTGATTGTGTCATTTTTAGGGTTTTGTTTTTGTTTCTTACGTTTTTTTTACTTCTGGTTCCATATGCCACCTGATTAGAATTATAATTTAAATGCAATATTTAATATTTATAATATCATGTTATATACTAATTTATATTAATTAATCTTAAATAAAGTTTAATATTTATTTATTGAATTCATATAAAAAATTAATATATATTAAAAATTGAAACACAGTAACATAATTTATAAATATAGTAAACAAATACGATCGTGATCTTGATATATTTATTATAAATATAATCTTATTTATTTAATAATTATTTATAATAAAGTAATAATTAATTTAAATTTATTATATATAAACATTTTATTTATTATAATATAATTTGAAATATTTTTGTAATGAAAAAAATATAATATATATTTTTTAAAATCTAATTAGTAGATAGGTATATTTGACAATATATATAAGTTATAAAAATAGAATATTCTAGGAATATACTTTTTGGGGTAAAATATGGGGTAGAAAATGGAGGAGGGTTGGAGATGAAACACTATTTACCCCATTTTTTACTCCATTTATGGGGAGAAAAATGGAGATGGGTTGGAGATGGTCTAAGAATTTCTTGATTTTGGATTTCAAGATAAGTTAAAATTAATAATTGTTTTCTTTGAAATTTATTAATTTAATTCCTTTGTGTATGATGAATTCTTGGTAGTTTTGTGGTTGATTTCCCTGACCCGTAATCCGCTTTTTTAGTTATATATCCGCATTTTATAGTGAAGGGTACTTGAAAGCCAATAGAAATACTGGTAATGTTTTTCACATGACGAACAAATTGAAATATTGGAGGTTTGATTTTGATGTTTTGTTAATTTCCTATTTAAGAAATGATTTTTTAGATTGTTGGCTTCATATTCTCCATAGCATTCAGGAAATCGGATTTGATCTGTGAACACATTGGTAATAAGCCAACTTTTGGGGATAATCAGGTATGCGAATATACAAATGACAACATTACAGGCCTCAAACTGGTAGTCACGTAAAGAAGATCACTGTTTCTTCTGTTTGCAGGAGTACGTGAATTGATATTTTGAGCTACACATGGATCTGATACAAAACTGGAATGTCAGATAACCTTGTCTATGTATTTGTAGAATTTTTGTGGACATAAATATATATTTTTTTAATTTAACTATTTAAGTATAAGTTTGAGACCTTGATGAATATCATTTTTTGGCTTCATGCTCACATGATTCCACTTCAAAGTTAATTTAATTATTGGTTAATTTTTATTGTGATTTTGTATGGTATAATTAGTTTTCTGTGTTTTAATTACTTAAAATAACATACAAAGGTACAACATATTACTTACATGTTAATGACAGTTATTTGTGATGTTAATTTATAGGAAATATATACCATCAGATGTTGCCCCATAGGCCCAAGAACAAATAATCTTAACCAACAAGTGCTATCAATGTTAATTTATGACACAGTTATTTGTGATGTTCATGACCTGGAAGTTTTGTTTTCCATTGATCATTTATGTAAAAAGTATATTTTATCGATGTGATTTATTTATTTATTTATTTTTGTGAAAGCCACAACCATTAGCTCAAAACATAACAAAAAACAAATGGAGGTATTTTTTTGTCAAATTGTTTGGTTTAATTACCGATTTAGGTCTCTTCCTGGTTATGCTCACAAGAGGCCGATGACAGATCTGTGTCAAATCCACTCATAGACATATATGCTAACACCGGAGAATCAATGATAAGGAATCTCTTTTGTAAGACAAATAAGAAAATTATTACTTAGAACATATTAATTTCATCTTATACACATTCTGGGGCATTATGCTGATGCATTTTCTCTATTTAATAAAATGGTTTTACAATGGATCAAATCTATTGTAGCAACACTAATTAGCATGCTATGTGTTTGTGCAATTGTGCCTAAATGGGATCATTTGAAAAGGTCAAAACTGAACAATTATGATGATGTCATTGAAAGTTCCTCAACCCAATACTCTTATCACAAAGGTAATACATGACCGTGTTTGACTTTTGCCATTTTGTTAGTAGATTCTTAGTTTTTTCTCTACCTTCAGGCTTCTCATAATGGACAACTGTGTATATGCACTTCTGACCGGCTACCGTGACCCTCCCAAAGTTGTTTTGGTGAGTGATGAATCTTATATTCTTCCAAAACGAATCAAGAAAATTAATAAACTTAAGAGGTGTTGACACATACTGATGTGGTCTCAATAGGTATTAACGACATGCCAACAGTAGTGGGTGAGGTTGAAAAGACCAGCCACATGGATGCTTGTGCAAACAGTCCATCAGATTTTCAAAAACTAGATTTATAGTTAGCTAACATGGATCCCCAATGTATATAAATGCAAATATATCTATTTAAAATAGTTTTGTGTCTGAATTAAAGCTTAATAATGCTTCAATTAGGTACATATCACAAGCAAAACAAGAACTTGTTTCAAATTCTTTGACTACATTTGTACATTCAAAAAATCTATTTGATTATAACTTTGCACTTCCATTTTTCTTCTCGGTATGTGCATAAGTTTTATAGATTCCACTTTAATAGTACATTTGGATTGTGTTAAGGAAAATACCCAAATTACCCTTCATGGACCATGCTAAGCACGGGCCTAAAACATACCTAGTATATATATATATATATATATATATATATATATATATATATATATATATATATATATATATATATATCGATTTCATACAATTTTTTTTTAATTCGACCGTAATAATGTGTTTCATTCTCCCTACTAAATACTAATGCTTACAAAAATCATCTAGAAAAGAAGGAACGACCTATTTTTTAGCCTTGGTTGTGGCTCGTGGGCCATGCAAAACCCAACAGTTTAAGTAATGGGTCAAATTGGGCTGGTTTTAATTTGGGCTGATTTTGTTCCGTCTACCCTACCATACCAATAGTCCAATACCATACTACCATATTGGTCTTTGTTTGCACTCTGCATTGTGAAAAACTGAAAACCTAAAGTTTTTCCGTCTTTCGGCTTCCACCTAAGGACTCACTTCTCCCCGCTTGGCTGTTATTGCTTCTCATACGGCTTCATCTTCAACCTGTTGATTTCTCGTGGTAAGTTTTTCTACCTTTTGAATCCTGAACCTGTTGTGTTTGTGTTGCCGTCCAATTATACTGAAAGTTTGAAACCCTAATGCCAAATTACAAGAACAAGAGAAACGATAAGCATACTTTTTTTGCTTGACTAATGAAGTTGTTTATGCATAGTCTGCTTGGTTAGTGTACTGATCAGCTCATATCTCATTTATTAAGTTGGAGAACTGAAAAACGTCTAGAACTTATCGGTAGCTGTAAAAAGAGGGTTTATGTTTAGAAGGGATTTAGGCAATTCCAATTCCAACTCCAATTTCAGTTTTGTTTGTTATTCCTAAAGAAAGAGTCGAGTAAGAATTGATTTCTTACTTTCTATTAGCCAGACAAAGTGAAAACTTGAGTGCAATTCCTCTGTACGCATTTGGTTGTTGGATATTTTTGTGAAAAGCCTCCTCTTTTAGGTTTTAAATGAAAACCTTTTTCTCTTTTCTTCAACCATGTTTTTGGATCAAGTGATAGAAAGAAAACTTGAGTGCAAACTTTTAGATGTAATAAGACCAACATGTTGAATTTTGAGTTGGTTTCGATTCTGTGACTGATTTGGTTTTGATATTTTTTTGGGTACATGGCTTTATCAGATAGCATCAACCATCATGGCTGATGAAGAAGCAAAGCCTCTAAATTATGTGTCAGAAATTGTATTAAAGAAGAGGAAAAGCAATGAAGACTGGGCAAATAGAAGGAAAGAGCAGTTGGAGCAAAGGGTGAAAAAGTCTAAAAAGTGACAATTTTGTTATCAAGAAACCCGAACAGTTTATCAGAGAATTCCGCGATAAAGTAAACATTTTCAAATAATTTTTTTTTCTATTGTTTGTATGTTTAATGGACTAACACTCTGATAATTAACATTCACTTGATGCTTTTATCCAGGAGTCAGATCTCATTAAAAATGAAATATCGAGGAAAACGACCAATAAAAGCATCAATATTTCCTCAATCAAAACTACTTTTTATAATACGTATACAGGGGTATGTCATATGTGACCATTATATACTTATTACAATGTATTTTATTTCTTCAGTTTTATCATTTGTTTTTTTGCTTACATTTTCTGGTTTTGATTTTCAGTAAAAATGACATGCATCCACACACAAGAAAACTGTTGTACTCTCTGAGATTAAGGAGAATGTTTACTGGTGTTTTTGTCAAGGCAAATGATAGAATCATGGAAATTTTACAGAAAGTCGAGCCATTTGTCACTTATGGGTGAGTAGCACTGCAAGTCTATCAAAGGGGTTTTATGTCTTTTTGACTTAATGGGCTTAATGAGTTAAGCACTTAATTTGGACAAATTGTTTTTAATTTTCATTTTGTTTATGCTTTTGAAAGGTATCCTAACCTGAAGAGTGTGAATGAACTGATATACAAGAAGGGTTTGGCAAAAATCAACAAACAAGTATTTCCATTGACAGATAACAACATCATTGAACAGGTATGCAGGATTTTTGCCATTTTTTTTTGGAAATGTTTAAATGAATATTGAGGTGAGTTAATGGTGGTTATTGCAGGCAATGAGTGAACATGGAATTATATGCATAGAAGACATAGTGAAGGAGATAGCAAATGTGGGTCCACATTTCAAGGAGGTGTGCAGTTTTTTGTGTCCATTCAATCTGAATAAACCGGAGAAGGCGTTGCATGGTAAGAAGAAGGTGTACAAGGATGGCGGTGACTCTGGGAATCGTGAAGATCAAATCAATGAGTTGATTAGTAAGATGAATTAATTAATGATAATATAATCTTTAAGTGAATGTTCAACTCTTTTCCTTTTTTTATTAATCCTTGTTTTATGGAATGTAGTTCTTATAGGTTATTTGTGAGCTCTTCGAGCTTGTAATACCAAACAAAATTTTGATAACTATTTGAGATATGTATGTCTTATTATTTTTGTGATGTTTTATTTTAATAGACTGATTAGCGGTTGAAAACGTGCCATGTTCGTTTCGGATTGAGATATCTTCGTCTTAACCCGATCCGTTTAATTATCTTGTATGGTTTAGGTTTAGAGCATTGGGTGTGGGCAACAAGGTGCAACATCAAGTTGTGTCACCTCACATGCCACGTAAGCAAGTGGTGTTATAACACCAAGTGGGGAAATGAGCAACAAGATGCAATACCAACTTTTTGAAAATAAATATGTTTTATTTTTATTTTTTTTTTGAATTTGGGTTTTTTTTTTTACTTTTTTTTTCTTTTTCGTTTTTTTCGTTTTTGCATTTTTTTTAATCACTAACATTAATATATTTTTTATAAAACATAAAATTTTAAAAACAAAAAAAAGACATAATATTTAAAATCTAAATTTACGATTACAATAAAAAAAACATAATTTTAAACCTAAAATCATAACTAAAATATCATTCAAATTACTACTAAAACCACATAACAATCCTAATTAACCCAAATATTTCTTCCTAATTTGTTCCTTCATCGTTTGTAGCACCGCTAGATCAGCAGGCGCCAAACCCTCTTCGCTTGTCTGAAGAATTGACAACTAATGTGTCATTAGTTCCCTTTCTTTTTGCTCCTGCTTCTCCCGTGCTTGCCTTTCCAGGAACTCCAAATGACGACGTTTCAACTCATTTTTTTCATTTATTAATAAATTGTGCTCGTTGAATTTCGCTCTCATTTCCGCCGCTTCTTTTGCTCTCGTCTCTACCTCCCCCGCATGTCTTGCAGCGCGCCTCGCTTTGTCGCGTCCGGGCGGTCGTCGTGGTGGGGATATCTCTTGGATATCATCCGGGATCTCATCGTCGTCGGCGTTTAGGTCGATGTTAGTCCGTGCGTCCGACACGTCGACCGAGCTAGAATTGCAAGACCTTTTGGGTTGAACCTCCGACGATGTAGGCGTTTTATTCCACTTTGGATCCGCTCGCAACAATTCTTATGATTTTTCAAAGTCGAAAACATGACCCATTTCAACCCGATATTGTTCCTTAGCAGATTTGAACAAATCGAAGTCGTTGGGTTCCGCTTTGTTGTTGCGCCTCAAGCCGGTTGTAAATACCATTGAATTTGTTGCACCGCTTAGTTATTTGACCCCATTTGGTGCTCAATATGTCATTGTTGCGATACAGATTTTTCTTTAAAATAACGTGAAACTTGTCGAGCACCGCCCCCCAATAAGCTCCTTTTTTCATTCCATTTCCGCGAAGTTCGTTTTTTGAAGTAGCACACCAAGCCGCCGTCAAAGCGTATTCCTCCTCCGGTGTCCACCATTGTGGAACGTCTGCATTTTCTGTTTCTACCGCTATCGATTTCCCTTTCGATTTTCCTTTCCCTTTCCCTCTCCTACTACCTCCCGCTTCCACTTCAACCGATTGTTGTGTCGTAGGTGATGGTTGGTTGCTTGTTTGTTGCATCGAAGCAAAAGTAGGGAAAATATTTTGTTGTAAAATTTGGGGTTTGACCAAATTGATTTTGTTGAAGGTAAGGTGAGTTGGGAAATTGCAGTGGCGGTGAAGCGGGATTGAAAGCGGCACCTTCGTATGGGATTTGTGGTGAGCCTTGTGACGATAACAGGTTGAAATAATTTTCATAACCCGCGAATCCGAGAGGCGAGGTTGTGTTTGGGTTTGATGATGGAGGGGGGGTGTTTGGGTTTTGCTCCATTTTTAAAATTTTTAAAAAAGATATGTGTATAAGATATAGAGAGAATGAGAGAAAGGTTTAAAAAAATGGTTTAAAAGTAGTATTTATAATAAGGATAAAAGGTAATTTTTTATTATTATTTAATTTTGACCGTTTTCAAACGGTCGAGTGAAGAAAACGTTCGAATTTATACGTTGCAATCCGTCTTAACGCCCACGAGATTCGCCATAACTAGCTTCAACGAGTTGGGGGGGGGGGGGGGGGTTGTGTTCCTCGCGTCGTGACGCCGTTTTCGTGTGCCAATTCACCCAATTCGTTTATCGTTGTGACCCATACCGTATACTCTTAGAATTTAGATTTTGTAAATATGTCGTGTTATGCTAAATTGAAACACTAAGTTGAAAAAGTAATAATTGTGAGGTGGGAATGAAAAAGTGAAAAATAAGAAATCTAGTAGTTTTGGAGGTGAAAAAGTATTAGAATAATTATTCTAATACTTTTTTACTTTCATTTATTTACAAAATAATATATGGATTTTTTTTTAAGTTTTTTTGAAATTTCGATTTAAATTAACCCTTCAATATTATATATACTATTAATTGTTAAAAACTTGGTGAACACTAATCTTTGACATTTTGCATTTGTGCCACACTTTTTCCTTCGTTTACAACTTTTGCCACACTGCTTGCTTTTTAATTTGGCCAACCGACTATTTGCTTCTTTTCACTTGGCCGACACTTCTATTTTTTATTTTTATGTCACAAACCGCCTTAACAATTTTGTTATCGTTATCTTCTATTTTTCACTTGCAATTGCCGCCTTCGATGCCATCCTTCTCTAAATCTCTTAATGTCTTTCTCGCGATTCCCTGTTCGTCTGTTCTTACGCCTCTGTTTTCCTTCTTTAGGTATGTATAATTCCTCTTATACAATTATTTGATGTCGGGAATTCTTTCTTGCAAGCGTTCCCGTTTTACGAACCCTTTCTGTAGATTGCTTTCTGTTGGAGACGATGGTCTGGCGACTTGAAGTGTTTTTCACAAACCAGCGCTTCCCTCTCCTTCTACCAGCTCCATGTGACTCCTGCTTCGATCGTCTCGTGTTTCTCATTAATTTTGTATTTAAAACCACAATTTCAGGTTATTTGTTTATCCTCTTTCATTCTTTCTATGTTCTGTGGCTGGTGCTTCGACGCCCTAAATCCTTCTTCTCTCTCTTATCTCCACGAAATCAAATCAATGACTTTACTTGCCGCAAGATCAAAGGGGAAGCAGAAAACACCGACTCCACCACACCGGTTGATTTCGAGTGCTGAGGTGAACGGCTCCGTAATACCCACGAACTTGATTTTGGGGTTTAAAGTTCAAGGTAAAAATGATTTTGGGGCTGTACCATCGATGGGGGCCAGATTGTTTGATTTCAGTTTTAGGGTCACAGTAACTACGACAGCAACCTGGTACTCACCAACCTTTCTTCCTCACCGCTTTTGTTTCTACTCAATTGTTAATGGGAGTTTTTTCATGGAGATTTTCTGTTATTAGAGATTATACTTATGATTTGACGTCAACCAGAAGTGTTCATGATGTTTTTTTTGGTGGTGTGTCAAAACCTAACTTCTACTCCGCCGTAGATTTGATTCCTTTCCTTATTTTGATTAAAACGACCAAATATTGAAAGAATTCACTATCTTTGACTCTATGAAAACATTTTTTTTCTGATCAGACCTATATTGACCTGATGAAGAATTTGGGAAGAAGCAATCAAACAAACCTAGCCAAACCTATCCGTGCTTGGTGATTATGACTATGAATACAAGTCGGTCAACTGCTACCAATTAGGTATGTCTTCCCATTATAATAACACTAATCGGAATTTGAGCATTGACTTTAAAATATTACTACATTTACTATAGACTAGAGTGTAGACAAAATTTTAACATTGACTTTAAAAGATGATTGAATGTTTCAATGATATTCGTTAAAGCTTTGAGATTAATGTTAAGAAGATCTATATGGTTATGTACCAACTCTATGACTCTTTGCATCCAGTACTTTTTGCTTTGATTATAAAGTTTTAGTTAGGTAATTTAGGATCTGATTAATGGTTATTTTAATATTTGATGTGTTAACTACTTTGTTATTATAGATGGTTGATTGATCTTTCTTATACTACATCATTCTTTCTGATTTATAGTCATTGTATTTAGTTTCACCTTACCAATGAAGATGGTTGCAGTTCCGTTTTGACAACCGAGGCATCTACCAAGGTCAATCTCCTTTACATCACGGATATCTGATTGTATACCTTGTGTTTTCCTTTTACGCTTTTAATGCTCTGTTTGTGAAAAATATTTAAAAAGCTAAGATGCCCTTCATTTATATTCTTTTCTTTCTGACACACAATTACTCTACTTTTATAGTTTTTACTTTTTTTTTGCTTTATTTAATTCTTCACTTCATGACGGTTCAAGTTGATAGGCAATATCGTATTGTTGTACCTACCAAAGTACTGCTATGAGAAGAATTTTCATTAGTTATTTTCTAGGTTAATCTGATCTTTCACTTACTGTTATGAAAGATCATCTTCCCATTCATATACTCAACCTTGATATTAGTCTCACATGTTATTTAAGTTGTACTTGATAATACAAGTTGCTTTAATTTACATAGATGTGTTGTTTTTACTTTTTACTGCATTGTTGGGGTCAAAATGGCCAACTTTGTGGGATATCTATGCATTTTCTTGTGGTCCTTAGAGATTTTTTTGATCAACTTATTTCTTGGAAGAACGGGCGTAGAGAAGAACTACTTTTCATGAGCAACAAGGTAAAATTGTCATAAGATATTAGTTTACTTATATTCGGAGTTATATTGACATGAGAACTTACTCACCCAGCAGGCCGTTTGCAAACCACCTAAACCTGTCAGAGGTGACATACTCATTTGCTTTCCACAGATTTTGAGTTACAAAATCCAATCTCCAACTAACCTTCTTTTTTCTCAATGAATGCACTTAAAAACTTTAATATGCATATTTCAGTTTGCAAACTTTTGTTCAGTTGAGCAACATGGATTTGCCAGAAACATAATATGGTTGTTAGATGGGAATTCGATTGTTTATCAAAAGGTATAATCTTTATTCCTAAAAATTGAGATTGTCTTTTGATTTTTTTTTCTGTATTCTAATGTGTATCTGTGTTTAAATTTGGAATTTATGCAGATGCGATGTTATTTTCACACTGCTCAAAGACTAGACACTGATTCTTCCATGGAAGTAGTTACATGTTTCCAAATGAACAAAGAAAAAGAAGATGTTTATTCTACTGTAAGAGGGTCAAAACCTGTAGATGATGTAATTCAAATTGAAACAAATAGGGAAAGAAACATCCAACGCTGGGAGGTCGAGAGTAAAAAATATTGTAAGTGTACTTTTGCTGTTTTACATTAATGGTGTAATAAACTGACTATGATATATTTTTGCAGGGTCCAAAACTAATAATATAATCTGAATTTTAAAGCTATTGTGGGAGACATAACATCCTTTGATGGTGTACCTAAGTTAGAACAGAGTACGCTTGACAAGGCAACTTTAAGTGAAATGTTCAATCTTCTTGGTGGTGGGATGAGGGGTACATTCGATAACTCTTTATCTTATATTCCTATTCATTTTACTTTCATCTACCATCTCACTAAAGCTCACGAATATGGTAATTGGTGGGCTGGAACCTCATATTATTGAAGAGGTGAAATTATTGAACAACTTGAAAGAACAGGAAAAAGGGTTGATTTTCAATTTTTTTTCTCTCATAACAAATATTAGACTATCATAATAGATGCAATAAACACAAGTTTTTATTTGGGATACTGATGCATGGGGGTGTGGGACTAGAACTACATCCTTATACCAGTCACATCCTTGGGTTTAGCCATTCTTCCTAATGGACATGTATTGGGATTTCTTGTTGATATAACCGAACGCTATCAGGTGCTCAAAACTCCAACTTATGTCATTTTTTTTCCTTTCTATGAATGCTTTTCTCTTTAGCGATTTTCTTTTTCTCATGTAACAACGTAAAATTTTCAAACCGAATTTTTCATTTCAAACATAAAAATCACATGTCATATTTCCCAAAAATCTCAAGTATCCACATTAATACAATTTATTTATCAAAAGTTGTTTATCACATAAACCGGGATCCTCCAAAGTATATCTCCAAAGCGAGTGTGTGTACAATCAAGTCGGGGCCTTCCCGCGATCATCGGAAGTACCTGAAACACATAACACTCAACACGGTAAGCACGAAGATTAGTGAGTTCCCCAAAATACCACATACAACAAATTAGCCACTCGAGGCTATAACTCTGTAAGACCCTCCGGTCAATGTATCTCAGTGGGACCCTCCAGTCTCACAACTCTGATGGACCTTCCGGTCCTAACTCTGTGGACCCTCCGGTCCTAACCCTGTAAACTCTGAATAACACATAGCATAAATCACACAGACATAATGCAATAATATCACAATACTCAAATAAACATATAAGACCCTCTGGTCACAGATACATACAACTCTAGGTAAAGTATAGTGAGAAGACTCACCTCGTAAGCTAGTAAGTAAAAGTCTTGTGCCCGGAATCCTCGATCTAGCCTCTGCCTATCACAAGGATAATATATCTAATTAATTCTCTCCATATAATCAATTCCAAACGTTTCTCTCTCTTACACTCTAGTCTTAGAAATGGGTAAAAGACCATTTTACCCCTTCCTGACCCTCATCACTCATTTGACCAACCCCTAAGTCAACAGAAGTCAATTCCAGTCAACAGTCCAAATTGACCAGACTCGCTGAGTGCACTCGTGCGACTCGTCGAGTCCCATCGATTCTCGACAATCTCATGAAGGTCCAGCCCGTTGAGTCAACCCCTAACTCGCCGAGCTCTCGCCTGATCCAGCTAATCGGGACAACCCTAATCTACTCGCCGAGCCGGTTCATCAACTCGGCGAGTCCATTCAGACTCAACTTGCATTCAGACGACTTTAAGGCATGATACTTTCCCAAACTCCAGATCCATACTCTCAGGGCTCATTTACCACGTAAAGTCATAGACTTTACATCCATGCATGGCATTTTGGGCATGAAATGCCAAGAACATGATCTAAATGGGGTTTTCACTCATAAATTCCATCAAGGCTGAATAAAGCAGGAACCTTTAGATGCGAGGGACCTCCTAAGGTCCAGATCTGGAGTTCAAGCCTCCTCATGAACCCCAAATCCTCAAAGTCCCAAAATATAAAGAAAAGAAGCCCTAATCTTCAAAATGAGAGATCTACTCAAATAAAAGAGAAAGGTTCAAACTTGATACCTCTAATAGAAGCTCTTGGACGTATAAGCAGTAGATCTATCAGCCTCTTCACAATGTTTTCAAATATAAATTTGATTTTTGTATTACACAATAATAGAACACATAAATTAAACACTAACAAAAATTCATAATATTAGGATGTAAAAATACAAAATTATATTCATGTTTATACTATTGTGTTTAACTGTTAAAATAGTAAAAATAGTTATATAAGATATACTAATAAATAACAAGTTGCTAAAAATTACATAAAAAATGATAACAATCATGAAAGACATAATATTTAACTAATTGTAACATTATAAATATCATAACCAACTTATTTTCAACGGTTTGTATTCTTTGAGAAAATCTAATTTATATTTCACAACTTGTGGATTGAGTTATTATTGTAATTTTTTTAAGCAACTGGTTAGTGGTTAGATGTTAAATTCATCAAATTACTTATTCGTTTATACGCGAATTTGAACATGAGACTTCCAATCTAAGACTTTCCCCTCTACCAAGTGGGCTAGTCCCACGTTTATTATTGTAATTAAAATGCACATTTTCAGAATACAATATAAATAGTTATCACTAAAATTTACGTAATAAAAGCTGATATATACTTTGGATGTATTTTTACATCTTCATTTTAAGCAAAAAAAACATCACCAAACCAATAAAATGCCAACTAGAGTGATTATTATCTGTTTATCTCTTTGTCTTGTATTTTCATCATCAGTTATTACGGACAATCCACCGTCGGCATATGATGTAATAAAGAGCTACAACCTTCCAATTGGTGTTCTTCCCCAAGGTGTTGTTGGCTACAATTTGGATCCCAATATTCATATGTTTTCTGTTAATCTCGGTGGTTATTGTAACTTCCATATAGGGAAATATAAGGTGAAATACAGCCCCATGATTACAGGTGTCATATCCCAAAATTAAATTGAAGGATTAAGTGGCGTGAAGGTGAAAATATCTTTGATTTGGTTCAATATTAAGAACGTGAAGAGGAATTCTGATCAACTTGAGCTCATTTTTGCAAATTTTCTAAGAAAACGTTTTCCCGTTAATTATTTCGACAAGTCTCTTCCATGTCACAAGAATGTATAATTAGTTTTTGATGTTTATTTAAAAGAAAACTTCTTTTGGTTATCTTTAGTTCTTTACTCTAATCTTTTTAAACTCTCCGTTTAGGATAATTAAATCATTATTATATCAACAAATAATTAAACAAATTAATAATATTAAATTATTAGTATTATTGGAGTACAAGATCTCCTATCTACCCACAAGTATAACCACAATAAAAAGAAACTCACTGATGTTGTTAAAATCATAGTTTTTATATGATCTTACGGTTTTATCATAAAAAAAATATCATGATCCTATAAGATAAGATTTAAGGGTAAAATCATTGGATCATTAATAAGATTGTAAAGTCATAATCGTTAAAAATATTTATATATTGTAAAAAGTTTAAAAATCATCAATAAAATGAAATTTATTCATGCAAGAAAACATTTTAAATAGATTTATATATTAATGAAAAACCATTGGAAATTAAGTAATCTAATAACTTTTTAATGTGTATTTGAAAAAAATAACTAAATTTTTTTTTTAGCAAAAATAACCATTTGGTCCGGAATGGGTATTCCAGACCAAGAAAAAACATTTTTTTGACTGATTTTGGAGCAACATTTCGGATTCCGGACTAAAATTTTGGATTTCAAAAAAAAAAAACTCTTGAACAATACTTTGGAATAAGGGCATTCCGAAGAATAGTGGTTATTTTTCAAAAAAAGTGAAAAAAGATGCTTATTTTATTTGAAAACCCCATTTGTAATGGTTAAATTACTTAATTTTCCAAAATCTATAGTTAATATTTAGGTTTTACCAATTTAATTGATCTCTTTCTCATCTCTTAAAAGTGAAAACCCTAACTCAAGAATCTCTACAGTCGCCACTCACCATCAACCAACCACCACCACTCACCCTCGACATCTCCCCCGCCATCTACAAAAACAACTATTAGATCCACCAATTTAGATCTCCACAAAAAACCAAAGTTTTTAGGTCTCTATCGGAAAAACCAAAGGTTTCAGGTCTCACTAATCTCTCCGACGATGGATGGAACATGGACAAGAAACTTACCGGAGAAAGGAAAAGACAGACTTTTTTTTTCTCGTAAATAATTGGGAGTTTACCTACCTGCTTTTTTTCTTGTTGGAAATCTCATCAGAAAAATGGCTACCAAACATAATCACACAATAAGTGTTTCTTCGACCCATCTGTACCTACAACCTTTTCTCTGTGGGTATGAGATGGTCGCTGTCTGAGATGTGTTGAAACGCGGTCGTTTGTGAGCACGTACGAGAGAGAGAGAGAGAGAGAGATATCATACAAAAATCGAGCCATTGGTTGATGATGGAGCAGAAATGAAATGGAGGATGGTGCCAAAAATCTATAGGTGGTAAAAAAGAGGTGTGTAGCGGCGTCAGGCGGCAGATGCGACGTCCGATTACGTCTGGCAGAAGAGGGTGGCGACCTCTAGGGGATGGTGTATGGGTAGGATTATTGTGTGTGTGTGTTTTTTAAAAAAAGAGTAAATTACACGAATGGTCCCTATGGTTTGCGGTAATTTGCGTGCTTGGTCCCTAACTTATTTTTTAACTCCGAAAGTCCCTACTGTTTGTTTTTGTTACGCGTTTGGTCCCTACTGTTTGTTTTTGTTACGCGCTTGGTCCCCGTCTTACCTAAAAAAACTATTATTTAAATAGGAAAAAATGGTGGGGTACGTAAGATAAGGTGAGAGGGTTGTGGTTGGGGTGTGTTTATTTAAATAAATTAAAAAATTAAGGGCAAAATAGTTTTTTTAGGTAAGACAGGGACCAAACGCGTAACAAAAACAAACAGTAGGAACCTTCCGAGTTAAAAAAATAAGTTAGAGACTAAACGCGCAAATTACCCTAAACCATAGGGACCATTCGTGTAATTTACTCTTAAAAAAATTAAAATAAAATAATCAATAACAAAAAATTAAAAAAGAAATATACAAGAGTATAATAGTCTCTTTGGATCACTCATAGACCAACACGCAACAAAACCAAACTATAAGGACAACCGATATTAAAACAATAAGTTAGAGATCAAACACGCAAATTATCAATAAACCATATGGACCATTCGTGTAATTTACTCTTACTATTCTATAAACTTTTTTATGCATGTTCATGGATGTAGATTATGAGTTGAATTTTTTTAGGGTTGCATGTGTTTATTCCTTAATATTGGAAACTTGGATTCGTGTTCCTCTACATTTTTAAAGTTCATGTGCAATTTGTTATGTGAATATGACTTATAATCAAATAAAGTACAACTCATAAAGAAGAAACTACTAGATCCGATTTTTACGATCACGATCTTCCAAGTAAAAGTATCATACGTAAAATCCTCATCCTAACAATCTCGGTTGAAGTTTCAACAATTGATATCACAAATACATTAGGCTTAACTCAATAAGACCCCTCCATTTGCTATTTTGCTCTTACAAACTTATTTCACAAGTATGGTACCGCTACAAATATAAACGACCTAACTGCAAAGGGGTCAAGTAGAGGCACAAAGTAGTGGTACTTCATAAAAAGATAATTTAGTATAAACAAAACTACATGAGCAGTCTTTGTGGTTTGTTAAATCTGACATGATGAAGACAACTCTGAAAACACCTACACGGTTGGTCCTCATGGTTTCAAAATCTTGCACAATTGTTCTTTTTGTTTAACTCCCTTAGAAATGAGACACTATGTCTAAGTAAAATGACTGAAATACCTACAACCTTGTATTTTATGTTAGACAAAATTGCAAGAATGGTCCCTGTGGTATGTCAAAACTAGCAACTTTGGTCCAAAATGGGTTTGGCTCGTAAGGATGGTCCAATAGTTTCGTTTTGTTGCGAGTTTAGTCCAAAAATTTTAAAACTTTTTATAATGACGGATTTGCCCTTGGTATTTTTCCCGTTTTTAATTTTTTTATTATAGAAATCAAAAAAAGAAAAAGAATCTCTCTCTCTCTCTCTCTCTCTCTAATACCATCTCTTCATCTCGTTAGTTCTCATCAGAAAAAAAACTCTCTCCTCCTACTTCACTTACGATCAAGAATACTCCAATGCCTTCATAATTTTCGGCTATCACCGCCTATCGCTGTCGTTAATCCACCCTCTTCTCCATCGCCGGAAAAGGGCAACACCTCCCCTCGTTTTGCAACAGCCCAACCACCCACCACAACCGATGTCGTCAGAATCCCTTCCTCGACCTCCCTTTCGTCTCCGACTCGTCGACTGTGGCAGCTCCTCCGCCTCCCCCCTGTCATGACCCACCACCATCCAACATCCCAAATCCAAATCCACAATGGGTGTTCTTCGTTCTTGTTTACCGATTCCAGTCTTTTAGTTTTCTTTTCCCCAAAATCTCATGGTCCCATGGAAGAAACGCTTCTCATCGAGAATCGGAACCCTGAAGTCAATTTAAGCAAAGTAGAAGATAAAACAATTTCATAAATCGATTCACTTCCAGACGCCAAATAGGAGATGAGAATCTCTTATTTACAAGCGATACTTGTACAAGCAACTACAGATGAAGTTGTGATGGTGAAGAAGAAAGGTCAACAAAGAGGGGAGGATTTCACTTTGTTGTAGAAATTAAAGAAAGTCGATTTCTTTCCTCATTTTCTTCTCTTTAGTTCTCGCATCTGGTTCTCGGAGACGGTGGTAGTGACGTTAGGGAGGAGGAGAGATTGGTGGTGGTGATTTTGGTTAATATTGTCTAGTTCCCGAGAGAGAGAGAGAGAGAGAGAGAGAGAGAGAGAGAGAGAGAGAGAGAGAGAGAGAGAGAGAGAGAGAGAGAGAGAGAGAGAGAGAGAGAGAGAGATTTTATTTTTGTTTTATTTTTAATTATTGTAATAAGAAAATTGGAAATAAATAATAAGGGGCAAATCCGTCCATTATAAAAAAGTTCATAGGAAATTGGACTAAACTCGCAACAAAACGAAACTATTGGACCATCTTTGCAAGCCAAACCCATTTTGGACCAAAGTTGCTAGTTTTGACATACTACAGGGACCATTCTTGCAATTTTGTCTTTATGTTATTGCATTATTTTGAAAGTAAAAAGAAAAAATTCAAAAAAAACCATAATGTTTCACCCTCGCATTGTCACCCTCTCATAATCACTTTTACCTTCCAACACCAAATGTTACTTTCAATCACCTGGTGCCTACCTACAACCAACTGAACCACCTCGGGCGCCTACCTGCATGCAAACACATCGTTCACCCTCACCGCACGTCTGCACCCACCTACATTCCCTCTCCATCCCCTACACAACCTTACTCTTTTTCATCTCATTCCCTTTATGCGACTCCAACCATATATAAATAGATTTTAGGATGATTCTTTTTTTTTTTTTTTTGAAAGATATCTTTAACCGAGTCACTAAAACATCCACCCTCGGCCAACATATCTGCCGATGGTGAAGATGGGGCAATTTACACAAAGATTGATTTCATTCACATATAAATGATTTTCATAAAGATTTTTGGAAAGATCCAAACTTTCAACCCCAATAAACGAGGTTTTGATGTTACTGGGTTTTTTTTGGGATAACTCATATAAACAATATTTACAATGATTGATATTATTATATATATATATTAAAGTTGTGGAAGAAAGGAATAGTAAAGTTGTGATACTTTGTCCAGGTTTGGTCCCTTGATTTACATATTCGGTCCCTGTACTTCTTTAATTAATTTATTCATGTCCTTTTGTTTGTGTTCCGTTCAACTTCCCATTTTTTTGACAGAATTGTCCCTGTATTATTGTTGGAAGTTAGGAATATTAAATTTGGATGTTTTTTGGCAACTTTGGTCATTATTCTTTACCCATTTTCACACTTTTTGTCATTGCAATCAATATTTTTACACTTTTTTGGAACCTTTTAATATTTAAAGTTTGGCCACAAAACTTTAACGGTTTGACAACTTTGATCCTTTTCTAAAAAGTTGCTAATTCCTACCCCTTTAATTCTTTAGCCATTTTCACACTTCTGGTCCTTGCAGTCAAAACTTTTACATTTTTTGTCCGGGGCAAAGCCCGGAGTTTTCATCCTTGCACTTTCTATGTCTGTCATATTTATCAATTCAGAAACAACATTGAAAGCTTCTGGCCCCCGCGTAGCGGGGGTAACCTTTCTAGTTATGCATCAATTATATCAAGAAGATTGACACTCATAGCACCAACAATCAATTCATGGATGTATCTAGTTATATTTTTGTAATTTTTTGTTTTTTCGATTTTTTTTCATACTTTGAAATTGGAATCAGAGTTTCGCTTTAGAACAGATTCTCATACTATTTTTTTGAGTTTTGATCTTTAAATTGATGAGCTGAATGGAATTAAGAACTGTATTATAATTAAAGCCCTTAAAAATAAGGTCAACCTTATTATGAATATCAAGCTTAGTTTTTTATGATGGTTCACACTTCACATAGACGAGAGGACTAAGATATCACGTTTATTTGTCAATCAGAAAAAAAGGGGTATAGGGTGTGAGGCAACGGGAGAGGGAAGATGAAGAAGACATGGGCGGTTTCCAAAACGGGGAGTTAGGTGTAAAAATAATTATAAATAATAACAAATAGTTAAAACTATTAAAAAAGGCATATTTATCATTTAAAAAAAAGTAACAGCTCGATATTCAAATTTAACATCAAAAAAACCAATCATACAACAAAATGAAATCAATAGGAATAAAACACGTATGCATTTTGATAGCTATACTCACCACATAAGTTTTGATAAACCACAAGAACCATTCGTGTAATTTTGTCTTTAGAACCAACACACCTAATAACGTATTTGGAAACTGAATTGGATAAGTATTTTATAGTATTAACAATTTTAACGATCTAGATATTTTGATACGATGGAAAAAAAAGATCCACAATTTTAACGCTTCACATCATCTGAAAGACCCAAAATGCAAAACACAGCAGCACAGCATAAAACCAATGACCTAAAAACCATTTAACCTCACTAAAAATCCCAAAACAATGCAAAATGTAACAACAAATATAAGATATACCCAACTCACCTAAACTAGATCTACCGATTCACCTACTCTATTGATTATAAAGAATACCCAAAGCAGCTACAAAAGATCAGCCCTGAATCTACCCTACACCTGTAAGGAAAATTAGCTACATACCATTACATACTTGTGCACTTGAAAGTTCAATGTTGAATGCAATTAACATGTAATTGATGCTTTAAAACCTAAAACCATAATCAACACTCCTTAGATCAGTTGAAATTTCTAACTTAAACAATAAGCAAATTAAGTAGCATAAGTAAGCTAGTATATGAACATCATTATAAGTTTAGTACACTCCTAGCAATCATAGCTTCAAGTCTCCTCTACTACAAAAAGATAGTATTATGTCAATACTTAATTAATAGCATTGAGCTAAGGGTTAAAATAATAAATCCCACACAATTGTTAGCTTATGTAAACTAGACAAAACATTCTATTAGCTTCCTATCACACAGATTCAAGTGGTTACATTTCTACCAAGAAGCAAGATGAGCAAAAAGAATTCTTGTTCCATACAAATCATTTACTTTGCTATAGACTTCACTTGCATGAAACAAGCATAGCATACACTTATTTAGCCAATGAAAAGATAAAAAGTACTAGAGGTTTGCATATACTTATTACTTTGCAGGAAATCAAGAAAACAACAGATACTACCATCCATCAAGTACACATGAAAATCCATCATCATGTATAGCTCTTTTGATTTGAGGATTCGTTTTCTTTTCCTTTGTAGGTTTAGTGCTTCACTGCATGGAGGATGTGGAGAAGGATGAGAGGAATTGAGGAATAGCAAATCAACTCGGTGAACCCAGCCAATCCAAAGAAGATTTGATAGAAACTATTGTAGGTGAAACAAATCAAACCAGTTTTCATACAGATAAGATAGAACAACAATGACACAGCGGATAGAAAGCACGCAGCGATTCTATTGGAAATGGAAAACATCGAAGAAGACTGCGGCTTATAGATAGAAAGATGGGGAGATAACGGGCGAGCGTGACTAGCTGACGGACTCGCAACATATGGAGCCGCAACCGTAGCGAATCTATTGTAAAAGGAGAACATCGAAGGGATCTGTGACTTGTAAACATTCACATGAGAAGAGAACGGATGGGTGTAGTTCAAAAAAGAGTAAACCTGGTTCGATCGGAATTCTGGCCTGAGGTTCCCGGTTACAGCGGGATCCGAAACTCTAGAAGCCGATTTTGACGATTTTTCATCTCCTTTCTTCATCATTGCAGCCCCGCCGCCCAATGCACCGCTCTGTGGGGCAGCAGCAAGTCCACGCCTGGAAAACAATTACAAACACAATCATCGATTGATATATCCGATCTTAATAAACAGTAGGATCTGTAATAAGGACTCACGCACATCAAAATATCTGCTTTCTTAACATAAATAGAACGATAAAAATTAGCAAAATCATGTAAAATTACTTGGAAATAACAACGGAAAGCTGGTCGCCGAAGAAAGACGAGAGGCGCTTAGCGTTCGAGAACGAGCGAGCCATTGTTACGATTAACTTCTCGTGACAGAAACTAAATAAATATGATCGGCGCTTCTGCAGAAACTTTGATCGGAGATGAACTGGATCTCCGTTACGGAGAGGATGCGTGAAGAGATTGGGATTTGCGTAGGAGGGTTTCCAGAAATGGGCTGGGCCAAAAGTTTTATAGTATAAACTCTTATCATAGCCCACTCTCAAGCCCAATTTTTTATTACAAAATGATTTTATTTACAACTACTTTTTTTTTAATGAGATTGTATTATTTTTTGGTATTTTTTATTTGAAGATATTATATATAATCACAAATTTTATATATTTGTTTATTTTAAAAGATAAAGATAGCATTATGATTTATAATTTTAATTGGAATTTTGAAGAAAAAAGAACAAATATAATATGACATCTTGATCTATATGGGTATCACAAGCCAATTTGCGAAAGATGGCCCATTTATAGTTTTACATTTTTTTACTTTTTTAAAAAAAAAATAAAAGAATTTCGTATATATCCTTATTAAACATTAAAATATCATATTTATCCAACTTAATTTCCAAATATCATATTTATCCTTTCTAAACTTTCAAATATCATATTTATCAAAATTTTATTTTTTAATATTTTTAAATATTTTTTTAATAATTTTAAATCTCTATTTATATTAATTGTCTATTATACCCTCTTATAAACCAAATTTAGAATACCAATACTAACCACAACCAACGCTCGAGAAAGAAACCAAATTCAATCCATAATTTAGGGTTTTTCAATCACAATTTGTTGTTATATAGGCAAATCGACATTAATCAAATTAGGGTTCTTGCTTTCCACATAACTCCCAAAAACCATATGTGTGAATATACTTTAGAAAGCGATTCTTGGATTTTGATCGAGATTGTAATTAATTGGCATGGAAGATTCACTTTCTTAATCCTTTATATTTTTTTCTTTTTACAATTTTTTATGTTTGAAGTGGGAAACTCCCAATATACATTTCCAATCATCAACTAAATTTTGGGATTGAAACCCACTTAATACTTTAGATTAGGTAAATTAAGTCTTCGAAGCTTTTATGATATGGTTTTATTGAAATCTCTTATAGTCTTACTCATAGGTTGTTTGACCAATTATTTACTTCGAATCCAATTTGTTCTTCAAAGTTCATAATCAACGATCACGAACATATGATTTGAAAATTAACTTTTTGTTTATATTCATGATTCGAAAGATGATTTGGAAGATTAATGATATTTTGAAGTTAAAGTTATAATAAGGATATAATAGTCAATTAATAAAAATAAGGATTTAAAATAATTATAATATATTTAAAAAATAATAAAAATAAGTATTTGGACAAATATGATATTTTGAATGTTTGTGGATGATAAATATGATATTTAGGAATTAGATTGGGCAAATTAGATATTTTGATGTTTAATAAGGGTATATATGAAATTGTCAAAATTTTTTTTTGATGTAGGTTGGTTGGGGAGATCAAAGTTGCGGATAGTCTAAAAAGATAAAACCTTTTTCGAATGACGAAAATTCCGATCATATTCTAGCATTCCGATCTCATCGTCCTTAAGTGCTGGGCAATTGACAGCACATAAAGTCCCCCAAATTAACAACTAAAATAGCCCACCAAAACCCTAGAATTAAAAGATTTTCAGTGATGTCTTCGATCATCATCTTCACTTTCTTCATCCTCCTGTTTTCACCCTTTACAGTCTCATCTCTAATCGACACCACGGACGACGGAGACCATGACAACCTCACTGCCTATGAAATCATCCAATCGTATGGGTTTCCGAAGGGGATTCTCCCTATAGGCGTCACCGGCTACGAACTCGACAAATCCACCGGAAAATTCAAAGCTTTCTTCAACGGTTCTTGTAGCTTCTCTCTCGAAGGTTCCTATGACCTTAAATACAAATCAACTATTGGTGGGATCATATCGAAAGGTAGGTTAAAGGATCTTACTGGGGTTAGCGTCAAGGTGTTTTTCTTTTGGCTCAACATTGTCGAGGTTTATACATCAGAAGACGAGCTTGGTTTTTCTGTTGGCATTGCGTCAGCTGGGTTTCCGATCGATAATTTTGAGGATTGTCCGCAATGTGGATGTGGTATGGATTGCAATGGCGTTGTTGACGACCCTCGAGGTAAGCAATCGACGAAGATCAGAACAAACCCTTTTGTTTCTTCAATCTAGAGATTAGATCATCTGCAATTTCAATTACACGTAGAGAGACAGACTATCATTCTTCTTTAGCTTTTTTTCCTCTTTCCATTGTATGTTTTAATTCCCAATATGTTTTCTTGCACCCATGCGAATTATGTGCAAATGAATTATGCGTCATTAATCCATGTTGGGTTCTTTTAGTTAAATTTTGTACACTTGATGATCTCTCCATAAAATAGCTCAGTTTTATAACCTTATTGATGCCTCTACCATTCTGGATCTTTGTTGATTTTTTATGTTTTTGACAAAGATTAATGATGTTTCCTAGAGAATGCATAGAGAGGTGTCTATATGTTTGTATTTTTTTAAGTGTGAGATTGGGGATCAATGTAGCATCTAAAAGTCTTATGGTTTTAGACTATGGTATTGATTATGCTATTTGAAATACGCATTCTTTTTGGAACAAAAGGTTGTCGATCTTGTTGAATGGCCAGTTTGAACCTTTATTTTAGTTCAGCTTCTTGTGGTATTCGTACAACTTTTGGATTATCATAACAGTGCTCTCTTGTCCATGATAGAGTTGTCAATAATATGAGCCCCTTCATGAATACAATAGATTTATGGCACTACCCAAAATTAGACCTATTACAATGTAGTTTGAATCTTGATTCTTTTGATGATCTTTGAAGCAACTATAATACAAATTAAAGTCTTCTTTTTGACAATCCTTAAACCCACAATCTAACTATGGACTATGGTAGATCGTGACTTAAACTCACAACGTATATGTGGGTCCAAGTGTTTATCCCTTTGGTACAACAAATCAAGCTATTGCTCCCTTTGAGAGTTTCTTTTAACATCTTTAAAAAAATGGTAAAATGTATCATATGAGAACAGCCCATTTTAAACCTTTTCAGGCCAATCATGTGGGAGTAAATCACACCACTATAAATGTACTAAAATCAGCAGAAGGAGGGGTGGTTAAGTTCACAATTAAATTGTAATCTTTGTTTATACTATTCTGTTTTTCTTCACATTATGATTCCATGCTGAAAGTTTTCCATGCTCAGCTATGAAAATTCAGTCTTTCTATAATATGGCATTTTAAGATAATATGTTAATTTGAAAATGACGTTCTAAAGAGAAGACCGCCTTGTCATTTTAAGATAATAAGTAGTTAAACAACAAAATTGCCAAATCGTCGATGAGATGACCAACTTATTAACAAATTAATGGCATGGGGGCCACACAGACTAATTATACTTTTAAACACCAAATGTATGGCTTAAACCCAAATGATTATGTCTAGTTATTTTATTCACATATTCTTGTCTTCTATCAACTTTGCCTATTATATTATATATGTTGATGTTCACCGTATGGGCTATTTGACGACAAATTAAACAAATGATAAAAGCCGGTTTTTTTTTTTTTTTTTTTTTTTTTTTTTTTTTTTTTTTGAAGTTTCTGGAAACGTACTAACAAACTAACACCATGTTGCAAGTTGTTTGTCATATCTTGGGGAAACCGTGATGAATGCATGATAAATAATGATTGAGACGAGATTCACTCGGTTTTCATTTTGGTTGTAGGTGTGACCAGACCAATCCTTATTAAAGATATGATTCATTAGTTCGTAAACTGATTTGTTTGTTACCACTACTGATAAACGCCAAAATAGACGATATTTACTGGGTCAAAAGCATGGAGTGCCAAATTTATCATGCGGGTATAGTTAGAGAGGTGGGTGTAGGCAACGCCCACACGAGTTACTAGGCTAAAAAACAAAAAAACGCCGTTACCAAATGTGATCGTGGTATCGGGAAGTAACGCGAAAGCCTTTAACATGTAATAACGGGAGGGAGGGGCGGTGTTCATTGGCGTTATCACGTGTTATGAGGCACAATAACGGGAGTGGGCAACCGTCTTAAGAACCGGATTAATTGTAATTTTGAACAAATCTAGCAAACAACCAAAAATGGTCAGATGGTCTAAAATTTACATTATATATATATATATATATATATATATATATATATATATATATATATATATATATATATATATATATAGTGTAAATGCCAAAATGATAAAAAGTAAAAATAAATAAATAAATAAATGATGGCATCTCTTTATGTTATTCCTAGTTTTAAAAAAGATTTTATTTCGAGGGAGATAAAATGTTGGGTAAGTGTCCCAATTATTGTTGTCGAGGATCAAAGCTCACACACATACGATGTATGGTGGGTGTCTCACACATGTAAAGAAAACATGTTCCATACAAGCAAACCACCTCACGCCACATGTCGACCAAACACCATTATATCTCTAACTTAATAATTGTGTTATTGTGATCCAAGTGTTTGCGTTAGGCTTCATTGTATGCTTCATCCGACTTTAACTAGGTCTTTTAAGATTGTCATAAGTTGGAATTATAGTGATTTTAACAGAGGTACTTTTAATATGCATTATTTTCAATTTTACTTTACATGGAGAAGCGTTAGACTAATAGACTTGCATATACTTTGCTCAAAACGCGGATACCGGAAAAGTTGAAAAGGACTATAAGTCTATAACGATAATGATAAAAGGTACAGGAATACCAGTAAGTAATTAATAAGTAGTGATATTTCATTCTAGAATGATACAAATATGGTAATTAATAATAGTAAAACGAATATCAGATAGCTAGTCCATTTATGCTATAGCGGATCAAATCCTTTGTGTTGCTGAAGAATGTATATGTATGTGTTGTGAAATTATGCCACGATATGATAATGCATATTCAATGAATGAGATTTATCGTTTTAATTCGTCGTCATCTTTCAATTTCTTGACCGATTATCCAAATTATCTTTAATTAGTGTCTTCCAGTTTTCTGTTTCAAGAGCAGTTCACGCAGATCCGCAGCGTCAACTTGATTCGTTTGACCCTCTGGCTTGTAATAACCTGTAACTGGATCTGGAACCCATGGAGTACTCGATTTCTTCGACTCCTCGCCTCCTTTCTTCATCATTGCAACTCCACTTCCCCTCACGCTTCCGGATACACTACCACTTGATGTCGCCGCCGCGTATCCACGTCTATAAATGAATAATCCGACAGAATAATCAGCCAACGTATCTCTATAACATAAAAGATGAAAAAAAAAAAAAAAAAAAACCAGAGCAGCTATGCATGACGAAAGTTAAAATCGTTGAATTATACATCTTTTATACACCAATTATACACGTAACTAGAATTTGTAAAATGTTCTACAGTTTATAGTAAGTTACCTGGCAACAACGGAAAGTTGATCAACAAGGAACGATGACAGAAACTTAGCGTTTGAGATAGATCGAGCCATTTTTTCAATGAACAATATGAAAAAGAGACAAACTTGAACTCTGCAGCTATAGATACTTCAAGAACGGAAACTTAGGTAGAGCTATTTAGGGTTTCTGTTCACGAAGGACCTGGTTTATTATGATGAGAAATGAAGAGAAACGCCTTGGTATTTATAGATGACATGGTAAACGCGTGGAGGAACTAGGAAGTGACCGAAAACAATTTTTTTTTAAAAAAACAATTAATAAACTTGTAAATGAGGTGGCAGAGAATAATTGAAAGGGTCAGTCAGTCAGTGTTTCATTGACACCTGGACCTGGTTCATCACCAGGAACAAGAGCCGTTCTGCTTTTTGCTATTGAATCTTGACCTAACTTTTCCCAACGTCAACCGGGTCAAAACCTTTCGTCCACGATTTTAGTTGGATAACAATTTAATATAAATTGAAACTCAATAAATTTTGCATTTGAAGCTAATATTGTATTAGAGTTATAAAATTTGATCGACTCTTCTTCGCTTTTGAGATGCCTTCGCTTGGCATTTCGCCAAATTGTTGGTTGGTACGTACAGTCACGGTTTTCCCGTGGTTCTTCGATATATGATAACAATAGCGGTAGGGGTGTTCGCTTGGATGGATCGGTTTGATCCGATCTAATCAAGTGAATCCAAATTGATTTCGGTTTTCAAAACATGTATCCGAATAGTCCAAACTAAATTCAAATCTGATCCGATCCGAACCAATTACAATTCGGTTGGATCAGTTTTTATAAATCGGTTTACAAAACCGAAACATTTTAAAACGACATATAATTATAATATTACCTAACTTTACACAACAAACAAAAACATGTTATTTAGTTGTGATTTGAAATTTATAAACAACTAATAAGAAGATATATTATAGTTAAATATTTTACAGACATAAAACTTTTGAGAGAAAATGCATATTAATGTTTTTTTTTTATCGGGTGAAACGTTTTGAACCTATTTGAAAAAATAAATTACAAAATTAATAAATAACTATAGATATATATTATAAATAGATAAATTATAAATGTTTATTCGGTTTTTTTGGACTATTCGGTTCTGATTTTATAAACCAAAACCAATCCGAAATCCAAAATAATAATTCGGTTTTGTTGAAAACTCATCCGAAAATCCGAATATCTGAACCAAATAGTTCAATCCAAATTGTCCAATTGGATAATTCGGTTTTATCCGAATAGTAAACAGCCCTAAATAGCGAAACCAAAAAAATATATTTAAGGGTAGAATATCCTTTTTTTTATATAAGATTTAAAGGGTAAAACAAAAAAAACTCTGGTTTTGGTGTTAGATAATTATGGGACCACATCATATATATGTAATGTTTATCATTAAATATAGTTATTATGGTAAGAATATAAATTATTGATGAACCGATTTATATAATATTTACTTACATTGTGGGTTGAGTTCTCGGTTTTTGACTCAAGATCCTCAATATCCCTTCCATCTCTCACCAGGGCCGACTCTATATGTAGATAAACAAAGTTAGGGCTTAGGGTCCCCACTTCTAGAGGGCCCCATTTAACCCAAATACCCAATACAGTCCAATGTCCAATACAATCCATATTAGTCGAATCGCTGACTTGCTGTGCACAGGCCTCAAACATTTGATTCATCGATTCTTCTTCTACAAGCGACGATCACACTTCTTTTCA